TTTCAATCTACTGCATGGAGGCCCTTTAGGTAGTTGGCTCAGGAACCGTGTTTGTTTTACTTTGGCCCGAGGCACTCTCAGGCACAGGGATTGATTGTCTTGCCTGATGTACTGTCAGACGGCAAGTTAATTGATCATCAGCTTCATTAAAATTGGCATTTTGGGCATTACATCACGTTCATCCTAATGATGCCAGTAGCTTCTAAGCTGGTCGTGGATTGCTTAGCTCTAGTGACATCTTCAGGTTCAAAATTGTAACTCCAGAATTGGAGGAGAATCTGAGGAGAAAAAAGCTTGAAAACATGTTGACAGTATAATTTTGGCTTTGTCAGGGAGAAATAAACAGGCCATTCATTCCTCTTCTTAAAAGCTGTACCTCAGTGCTCTGAGTTGCGTGAACCCCCTGGAGGAGGGGTCTCAGGCTCTGACCTCCATCTCCAAGTGTGACAGAGTGTCTGGGCTTGTTCTGTTTCAGGAGTTCTCGCACCAGCCACGCAGACTGCTCCTTATTTTCCTCAAAGATAGCCTCTTGTTGAAATGCTGACAGGTCATCTGCTTTCTCACCATGATCCTTTGGTGCAAATGTGTTTCTGGTCCCCTTTCCATGTGCTCCCAGTTCAGACAGAAGGCTGTGAGATTTGAGGTATGCACAATGTTACTTTTAATAAATGACTGTGTCCTCATTTAGAGCGGATGAAACAGCCACCACTGTTCCAAACTGTCAGTGGAAGCTGAACATCATCATCACATGTTTAACCTGAGCAATGCGATCAGGTCTCAGTGAGCAAACTCTGAGTTCAGTCTCTATGGTAACACCAAACATTTTCTGAGGCCTCATCTTTGACTTTCACTATCTCTTGTTGCAACATTTAAAACAAATTGAAAAAATAAGTGATGTAATCTGCAATAATGTAAAGAAAAAACAGCCGAATACCTGATCACACCTTTGCTTTCTAATCGTCCTGAAGCTGAAGAGGAGCGAGGCTTCCCCCCTCCAGGCATTCCTGTTAATCTCTTTATCTTATGGCTGATGTGAAATCAAATGTAAAGATTTGCAAGACCTGAGCGTGTCTTCAGTCTGACCACTAAGAAGCCATTAATCAGACGTATCCAACAATAGTCTACTTGACACTCCCTCTAACATTACACCTGAGCAGACCAGGTGACGCCACGGTAACTAAGGAACGAAGGGTGACAACTGAAGATACAAACTCAGAACATGACACCCCAGTCTCAGAACTGAACTTACAATGAACTTTTTATATTGCGAAGGACAAGTCATCCATTTGGCAAAATCTGAGTTATCTGAACTGTCCATCTCTTTTAGGTTCATCATTTTACCGTGATCTTTTATCATATTAATAGGCCACCAGGTTTGATGAATGTAGCAAAACTCTCACATTTTTCTAGGATGAATTAGAAAAACACAAGTCGTGTAAGTTGTGGGTGGTGATATTGGCATAACGAGATGTCTAAATAAAGCAGCTTGTTTTTTTCTGCCTTTCGACATAAATGACAAACAGGCTGGATGTGACTGCAGTGTGTGTGGAGTCATGAAACAAGAAGGAAAAAACGTGTTCTCATGCTGGATTCAAATGTGTAATTATCACAACACACAAGCTACTTTAACTCGATATTTTGTGCATTTAACATTCTCCATGAAGTGTCAGAGAAACGAGATTACAGGAATGTTACACACAGGTGATCAAACTGCTAACATAAGCTGTCGGGTTCACAGAGGTCCCACCTAGCCGGATGTCCACACAGGGGAGGAAGAATTCTGCACAACTTTTGGAAGTTTGCTCACTTTTTCTCGATTTTTTGCAAAAGTATCTTGTCTTAGTATTGTTTTTACAGCCCCCTCCTCTGCAAAATCAATAAAGAAATACTCTCTAATCTCTATTACTTTCTGAGAGGAACTCTGTAAAACCTTTCTAGAACATGCTGATGCTGATCCTTTTCTGGTAAAATCCTACGTAAACCCTTAAACTTGTGGGGCAACAAAAACATGATCACTGAAAGTGACGGCAGCAGAATCAGAGACGACCGGACCGATACCACAGCTGGCCACATGTGGATCTCTGTGCTTCGGCTCCTGAAAACTGCCTGTCGTCTCATTCTCCGGTGAGAGTGACCCCTCCATCCTGTGCCTGTGCTGCAAAGGGGGCAGCTGCTCATGTGCTTTTTCAATATCATCATGTCCTGATAAACAAGTTAGATAAAGAACAAAACTTTAGCTGTGGAATGAACTAGTTTGGGATTTTCCGATGTGCTTGAATATATTCAGTCAGTAAAGCTTAAGGCTGGACCAACAAATACTTCATACCTTGAGCTTTTCCCAGGAAGTCACAGGTGTAGGTGGAGCAGTACTGTTCTCTTAAAGCTTCATGGATTGCGCCCTCTGATGGAAGACATTTTGAAGGGAAGGCTACATACTCGTAACGTGGCCTAGCGTTCCTGGGTAGCCTCCACACCATGAAATCCTCGAGGGTGAGGTTATGTTGATCTGTTAGAATTTACTCAACTCTGAATGTGAAACTGAGGGTAATAGAGTGAGAAGACAAACCTGGCTGGGATGTGGGTTGTTTCTCCTCTGTTCTGAGGCTCTTCCTGTGTCCGTGCATTCAGGTTTACTGGCAGGCTTCCAGCAGAACTCTGCATTGTATTCAGTTGAACCAACAGGCCCAGACTGTGAGTAGGAGTCTATGAGTGAGGTTGACATTGGCCGCCTTCACATGCATCAATGAAGACACACAATTATTCGCACAAACAAAACAATTTAGCATACCCACTCTAAATTTTACCACGATTTTATGAATAGAACTTACAGAAGGATCTCTCGGGCTGAGTTTGGTTGGGAGATAAATTGTTTTCTCTGGGATGTTTCATAAGGATCCCACCAAGAATTACCATCTACAAATAAAACAGGACTTGAAGTAATACAATCACAAATAGAAAAACATGTGCAGGTGTGTTAAAGATAAATCTAAAAAGCACTCCTTAAATAGAAATGCCCTATCTTAAATATGGTGAGAGCCAAGCTTTAAAAAAGGGAAGACCAGGTTTGCCATTATGTAGTTACTGGTTCAAATTCCCAAAAGAGTCCCCATTTTCTTTCAGATAGAATTGTATCATCAGCACAAATACCAGCAAAATGTTAACACTTTTATCTGAGCATTGTGATAAATCTAATCTAAATGAATTGTGATAAATGTCATTCTCATGTTACACTAAAAAGAATTACCTTAAAAAAATACCAGGTACCTTCTGATTACACCATGACATGAGGATTACTAATAAATCGCTGCAGTTATAGACTACACATATGTCAAATATATGAAGGAAAATATCCCAAAACTCTAGACCTTCGTGGGCGAGAAGAAATTGCCAATTTTTCTATATTCCGTCCCAACAGTTCACAACAATAAATGTGACATCTCTAAAATAATCCATCCTTTAGACTTCAAATTTTAAGATACCGTCATTTTCCACAGAACTATAACGCCATGCCTTAGTTCAGCTTTACCTTTCGTTGCCATTAGTGATCACTGTGAGGTTTGGTCACTTTGTTTTCAGAGTTATGGAATCCCTTCAATTTCCATTTCCAGAGGAAGAGTCGCTTCACGGCTGGATCTCTGCAGACCACTGAGAATCCTAAGAGTATAATACGTTTCCACTCAGATGACAGTTTTATAGTTAAAGCTGATTGTAAAAGGTTGCTCTAAGCTGTCTGGTAGTGGAAAGCTACCTGTATAACACATGAAAGGTTGCTGTGTGAACTACCCAGCAGGGGAGATGTTGAATTAAAAATTTAGCATGGCCCAAGCTGTTTCATTTGAAACTGTTACTGGTGATGAAAGGAAAAAGGTCTAATTTAATTAAAGCTTTTACTTTAATGTCATTTCAGAAAGGACTATAAAACCCAAATTTTTTAGCACTGTGTTCAAGACTTATTATATTCGACTTTGCAGTACAACAAATTCTGCAGAAAACATGGCAGAATTGCTGCCCATCTTTACTATGAGAGACCTTTTCTCTCTTTTATGGTCTGCCATATTACCAACAGGTTTCCAAGAAACCAAAATAGTGACAATATATTTTATCTAGCCCCTCCGGTCAGTACCACTCTTTTTTCAGCCTCTGAGTCATTTTAGTTCTGTCAACACAACTATCTTCCAATAAATGCCTCAATTTATAATTAGATTTGTTTTTAGTGTTTACATTTTGTAATTAAAATATATGTTAAACAAATTTTAAACTACTCTTTTGATTTGATTAATATTTTACATAGCACCACAACTTTATTTTATAATCGTCACAAATTTAAAATACATAGTGAAAGGGTCATAAGAGAGCTGGACATCAGTCAATGAGCAAAAGACTGGGCACACACTGTGGAGATCCACACAGAGATGAGAGAGAATAAGAAACAACCCAGTCTTCTCACACGATTACCATAGTGATTTCTTGTGTGGTGGGGGTGTTAATATTAGGAATGCCATGGCCATGAGCATTCATCATGTCTGGCAGAGGGCCTCCACCTGTTTACTGCAGTTTCCTTCTTGTCTGCAGATATAGAAATAATCTTGTTGAATTTGTGTCTAAATGTGTCCCATAGGGGAACTATTACAACAATCGTATCATTTTGACATGGCAATCAAAATATGATCAAATCTTAAACCAGTTGTAACAACATTGGGGACTGCAAATGTATAAACAAGAAGGTATATGTCTGCGTTATAAAACGTACCACTAGAATAAAATGTGATAGCATTTGAAATATTCAGTATACCAATGTAAGCTCGTGCAATACAAATGTGGAGAGTCAAATTTGTTCTAGCAAAGCTAAAAAAACAAGTCACTTTTCAGATCTGTTCCAGATAAACCTTTCCCAAATCCTCAATAACAGTAACTAACAACCATGTTGAATGCAACTGTAACCTCAGTAATACAGATCCCTAGTGCCAGTATATAATGTCATAATGAACTAAAGGATGCATCGTAAAAAAAAAAAACAATGCATAATGTATCATCTCTCACCTGAAATCCCTTTCATCTAAGAAACCCTTTTATATTTTTAAATGAATTGCAAATCTTTGCATAGCTCTCTTAAATTCAAAGAATAGATGAAGGAGTGACATTTTCAGAAATGAAATAAGTAATTGCAACTATGGTTTTAAACAAACAAAAAAATATGGCAAACACAAATCACAGTATTATAGAGAAGGTTGTGCAGAGAAATGTCGTAAGTCAAACTGTGTCAGGCCCATCTTCACATCATATCAGTGCATCTCAAACCTGTTTTTCAAATTCCTTTATGAAATATGATTTAGCGAGGCCTACCATTTTGAAAACGGACAGAGCAGTTAAATGCACACAGTGTTTCTAAAAGCTAGTTTTTAGTTATCAAATAGTATCATCTCATTTGATGAAGAAAGACATGTTGATAATTACTATAATTCAAATTGTGAAATTAGTACAATACACAATTAAATCATTTAGAAATACAATTTGAATCTTTTTCAGATCTACTCACTCTTTCATAGTTGAAAATAAACGCTAAGGTGAGATGAATCCACCCCTGCAGAGACCATCAGGCTCACTGGACGGTCATCAGGCCCAAACCCCTGCATTAACGCCTCTCTTAAGTTTTTTACTTGTTTCCTAGCAACTGTTTCTTGATCCATGAAGCTGTTTGATTTGCCATTAATAAATAAAAGGGATAAACAGTTTAATTCCTCCAGGATATGACTAGGGTTGATGTTTCCACACAGGATTCCCTGAACGGGCGAGATAACTGTTTAATCAGCCAGAGTGATGAAAGCACTAAAAACGCTCACATAACCTCAACTGCTTTCCAAATCCCTTTTTATGACACGCACAACTTTGAACTCCCACGACTGCTCCTCCTAATCTGTGATGGCACATTGCTTGTTACATTAGGCAGGAGAGTGTGACTGACATTTGCATCTGGAACCTGCACATTTGAGCTAGTGCATTTGCAGCTCAAAGTCCTCCATCATTC